AAAACTATAAAGAAACGTAACTTGCCCCCTATTATTCAGACAAAATTTGTCCAAACTCTAGATTAACTTGGAGGATTATGAAAAAAATAGAAAACTTGAAACACAAAAGTATGTATATTTACATATATTATACAAGCAAATTATTTACATTCCTTTTTACTTTACAACACATTAAATGAAAAGAAAGTAGGTGCATCCCACGCCTGTTACCATTTCTTTATAGTTTTATCTGATGTTCTTCATACCTATTCTACTTGAAAACGAACGCCCCTATGGTCAATTTTCCATAAGTTTCATGAGACTAACTAAGGCTTTCAGTTTTTCAGATTTTTGTTTGTAAGCCATAATTCTTAAATTAGGTATTACAAAAAATAAAATGTTAATTTGGTCAACGAACAGTAATTATTGGTTTTATAAAGTATAGGATTAAAAACATAATATTAATATTATAAATAAAAATATTTTGAATTATCTCTAGTTGCAATTAAAGGGTAATTATCACTATTGTCTTCACTGGATTGGATAATAACAATTTGAGCAAATTCGTAATTGGTTAATATTTATGCTAGGTGAGTTTAGCAATGCCTACTCTATAAGAACAAAGGCTTTCACGGCCGGAATCCATAGTAGAATGAAGATTTGGTACAATGCCTATTCTATTTGTGTCTAACGTTTGATAAATAAAAAATAATTGCAACGAATTGTGAGCCGTAATTCATTGCTCTATGTTCTGTAATCTTTTGGCAGTCGCAAAGTACCTAATATAGGTACCTTTGTAAAAAATATGAGGTTAGGAGGATATTCAGTGAAGCACTAAGACGTTATTGTTATGGTCATTCTTAATAAAGCAAATGGATAGTTATTAACTTAAAATTAAATTAATTTTTTATTTACGTAAGTATCTAAATAATGCAGCAGGTGGATCCAAACGATATATAATATAGAGCTAGTTTTTGTCATCGTCCTTTTTAAAAATTGGTTTGAAGAAAATTAATTTGAATGTTAAAAGTTATTAAGTAGGACTCCTATATTTCAGTGGTGTTGCTAGGATTTGTCAAAGGTGGGGTAAAGTTAAAAAAAGTTGAAAATCCGTATTATCTTTAATAAGATGGAAGTATCTGCCTGTATTTTTGAAATAGCTACCTTTTTTAGGTTCATATGGTTATTTGTATGTCATTAAAAACACAGTACGAGTAGGTACGTCTGTCAGTACGGCTGATGTGATTTCGATGAGGTTTTATGGCCTTGAAGAGAAGGTTGTGAGGAGTGGCCTAGGCTACTGTTTTTTTTATTGTTTCTGGTTTCTGCTGCGCTATCTGTACTTCTATACCATAGAAATAATAGAATGTAGTAGCAGAATTCATTGAAAATCTGTTTCTTAAAAGGAATGAAAAAGAAAATAAAGAGACCTTATCAAACATTTCAACCTCCTTTTGTATTATATATTATTACTTCTATGGTCTGTACCTGATAGCAATTGCTTCCCGAAATACTGGGAGAGCAACATAATTAAAATATTCCTAGTTGATAGGGGAGGGGGTTTGAACCCTCCAAATCACGTGGCTACGCTACCGCTATGTTTTCGATATTGTACTAGGTAAACACTTAAGGATTGAGAGATGAAGTATTGAAATTGGTTTAATAATATTTATTTACCTGCATATTATTAATACAACAAGAATAACCACCTTATTTCTTATTGGGTTCCTGCAAAACTGCTCAATAGATATAGGTGTAGGTATACATAGAGTAATAAAATTTCTTTCAACAGGCTGATGTATTAAATGGAGAGTGCTGATTTGTGGTAACATAAAATAATCCACCAAGATCTTTTACAGGGGCGTCCTCTCCAAATATTGTTTTCGTATTCTCCTTGCACAATCCTTTATCAAAATTATCACGACTACTACAGGACGTACCGGTTATGCCTTTGCAATTAATACTTTCGATAAAATAAGCATGAGACCTTTCGTGGCTACACGCCACTAAATTAATCACTGAAAATAAAGAGAGCAGAATTTATTAAAATAAGCAACCTATACGATGTATGTAAGTACGTATATCATCCCTTACTGAAATTTTTACTCAAAACGCGATGTAGATTTCGTAATTTTGGGCGTTGCATTTCCACCCGTTCTTCATGCTGATTGAGTGGGGGTAGCCCCTACAAGTTACACTGTAGTGCAAAGCCGGAGGGTAAAACGAGAGACTTTCTTCAGTATTAGAAATTGTGGAAAAGGGTAGATAACATTAGGAAGAGATAAATCGAGCGAATGTAATGAGAACAGAAGAAAAGTGATAGATCACTTTTGGGATATTACTGTTATAGCATTTTCCTAAATTATTCAAGGAAATCACAGAGGAATTTGGATGAGGGAAGGCAGACCTAGGATCTATATCTTCCAGTATGTTAAACTATGATCTAGAGTAGCGGATTTTTCTGTTACGGAACTCTTATTGACCCACCCTTTTTTGGTGAGACCTACGTTGACAAAAAAGTGAACTTATCTGAGATGGGCTATTGATTGCCGTTTTATCACCATTCTCCCCTAAATTATTCCTCTCCCCCCTTCCCGTTCCCAATCTTTTCCACAGAACCTTCCTAGGGATGCAAAACCTCCGGGTTGATCTGCCTACCCGAGGAGAGGTTTTAGTCGGTTAGAGCTTCGGCGAATCCGACACTGGCACCCTTTAGAGGGGTCACTTTTGAAGATTTCCCCTCCTCTAGGAAAAACTAAACAATAAAAATAGCCTCTCACTCTTGATAATACGGGCTGTCCTCCTATGCGCTCTGTTCTTATGTATCTAGGGTCCCACATCACAGTAGTACCGAGCGGCATTGCCTAGAGGTTTAGACCATTTATTAGCATTCGGGAGGACGCCGGTTCGATTCCGGGTCCGTCTGCCTTGGTCCAAGTTTTTCTGTGGTTTCCATGGATCACTTAGGCAAATGCTGAGGCAGTAATATTCCACAGATAATCTTTCATTCTCTTCTGTCTTCATTTCGTCCGTCTCATCTTTCTCACCCGAACNCTTATCTTTACACGCTTTTAATAATTTAATATTTATTACAAAATAAGAGAAGAATGATCAATAGAATATAGGGCTACGTCTGGGGGACCTGATGGTCGATCGGGGTCGATAGTCGAAGGTTTCTAGACCTCTTACTAGTAGGTCAAAGAAAATGTAAGTAAACACATAGGTATTGGGACAAATATTGAAGGATTGAAAATTATCGATACGTTCCATCTAACGCTGTGATATGGGCTCACTCAGATTTTATTACATCGTTACTTTAGTTAATGAAAATCCTAAAAAAAGTATTTGTCTGTCACTATATACAATAGCTTGTCTAACTACTTAACATGAATGCTAGAATAGCGGTCTTTGAAATTTTAACCCCCGATTGACGGAATTATAAAGCGAATCATTTAGAGATTTTAAATGCCTACGCATAGTTTACTAGTGAATAATTAGCTACAGTCCGGCTCATTATTCCCCTTATAAACCTGAATTAACCAGTGAAAAATTATTTTTGTAGAGTGAATTCGATCTTAAGAAAATTTAGCGTGGAGTTGCTTTGACTAGGCAATACGACGAGGCTTTTTATTTCGAAAAGGTCATTCTTCTTCATTCTTCTTATGGTCAGTAAAAGAGAAAGTTCTCCCGAAAATAATCCTTGACCAGAAATTTCAATTGTTTGAAATGCTTGTTTTTTCCTGGTTTACCTACTAACCACAAACACTGGCACAAATCATAAAGTTAATAATACTTAGGGCCAAATTGAAACAGCAAAGTTCACCTTTTTCTATAACTTATAATTTCAGCAACTGTGTTACCCCCATAACTAAAGCATACCTGCATCAGGGAAAAACAAATTCAAATGCAGTTTTCATTATCACTTTTTAAAACTGAGTTAAAGTGAAATTTACAATTCTTATGTCTCTTTTCCATTGACAACTTCTCTAATCGATATTGTATCTCTTATCCCTTGACATAATTAATTTATTGTTAAAAAGATAAGATATTAATGCGCACTGCGCAATTTTTTTTCTCAGCATCGTTAACGTTATTTTGTTTTTACCCCAATTGCGCCAGGAGGGTTATGTTTTTCGAGTGTATATATATATATTCACCAGAGGGCAGACTAATCGAATCTACCTCAGCTTTTTGTCTCTCTACAAGTAGTAAATAAGAGTGAGAGGGATGCCCACTAACACATTCGATTTTGGACCAGTGTTGCTAGACTTAGCGAAATTTCACTAGGCCTAATGGAATTTAGAACCAACTTAAGGAAAAGCGTATTTTTATTTTATTTATAATATAATTGTTTTTGTGCCAAATGAATTCTTCTTGCTTAAAGGTGACTTTTATTTTGAAAATTTCATACTTGTAAACTTAGCTAAAGAAAAGAAAAGGTCTTCCTTTTTAGGCTATATGATGTTTTCATTGTTTAAATGTCTTTTTTTTTGTTATAAGAATCTCCGGGGAAACATAAGGAAATTTCGTTAAAAACACTAGCGAATAAAAAGAAATTTATTACTAAAAGATTGCTTGTGGACCCAGTAATGGGTTCAGATTTAACTGTGCCAGTCGTATATGACACCTTTTAATGGTTTTAACAACCAAATCCAAAATTTTTCCCGTCTAAAATATGTGCTCCTATTTAAAAAACATATTGGACATTGAAATGAAGGAAACATTACATTCAAGGTCGCGAATTTATTTTCCATTTGAAAGCATACAACTTTGTGTAATTTTCTTTTTGAAATAAATGTAAACCAAGATACTTTAAGATTTTTTTTAATAATTTTTGTATACTTCACTCTTATCTGCCACCCTTTTTGTTCCAACTCAAATAATCACCCTTCGCTAATTCAAAAAAGGCGAGTTCTACGTTTCTGTAAACTCTTTATAACGAAACTCAAAGGACGGACTTTTTTTACCAAGAGAGCTTTTTCCTTATGTGGAGTGACACATTTTTTCGTGCACACAACGCATTTCTTTTACTTTAACAAAAGCATTAATGTATGGGTTTTAGGGTAAACCTACAAATTCAACTAATTTCTACGTTATAGAAAGTTTTACACAATACCGAGAGACGTTGTAAAGAGTTTACAGTGTATATTAAAAATAAATTAGGGTATTTTCACTCTCTGGATATACTCTTGTTGTCAGTGTACTGTTTGCCTGTTTAGGTGTAAAATATAGTACCTATTTATTCAAAGCATTCATATGGGGTTCATTTTTAATTTTTTGGTTTTACGTCTATTTTATCCATCATCTCGTTTTATTCTGTCTTAAAGCAACAGGAGTATAGAAAAAGTTTTTAGCGCCCCCTTCTACTATCTCCAGAAACCAAAAACTTCTAATTTAATTCTAATCTAAGCTATTAATCTACTAGATAGATCGATTTCAATATTGCAGGATCCTTTAGTGTCTCTTGATTTTGGCGTTCCGGGTGGGAGCCTCCTACACACCGCCCCCCTCCCCCTATTATCACAGCCCTCAGTCCACAATAAATAATTAATAATGAAATAACGGATTACAACTACAGGCACAACGAAGAAAATATGAATTAAAAACGTAAGTTAACAAAAAGAAAGACAAAAAGTAACTAACTCTAAATTATGTGACAAAATCAAAAATTGTTCTGATGCCACCACCAGTACCTGATATGCAACAAAAAAATACGAGCCAGAAGCCAATAAGAGGAAAAACCCAACAAGGCATGACTCTGCCTCGAACTATTAAACTGACTAAATCGCTACTGAAGTGAAATTTCTTCAAACACACAAACATACCAAGATAGGGGTTAAAGATCGAAATGGTTTAATGGTATTATTTGTACACTATGCTTCGCACGGGTGCAATACTGATAGTAAATATACTATAGAATGTCTTTATATACAACAATCACAGCTTTTTTTTCATTAGACAATACAAACTGCCCTCCCGGCCGGTACCGCCGCAACCGCTATGTCCCTCTATTTTAACTCTGTAATATCTTCGAACTATTCATTTAAATTACATGCTATAAAGGGCCATATTGATCTATATTAAATGAACAATGTATTTAAAAGTACTTAATTGGATAAGGACTAATGCTGTATTGTTTAAAATCGCTTCGTAAATAAGCCATTGTTTCTCGTAAAAAGTAAAGGATCAAAAATGGTTATTGTGGGTTATTCCTAAGAGATAGACATATACCATCACGGACTTTTTTGTAGACCTTTTTAAGGTGTACAATACTGTAGTACATTATTTTCATCTATCTCGTAGAGTTCAGCCATCGTTTGCAATGTTAGCGCAAAAAATGTGTTTATGTACATCACATTACAAACCTCTAAAATTATCAGTGTTTCTCTACTACATTATACATGTATTATACATATAAACCTTCCTCTTGAATCACTCTATCTATTAAAAAAAACCGCACCAAAATCCGTTGCGTAGTTTTAAAGATCTAAGCATATATAGGGATAGACAGCGGGGGAAATGCGTTGCATGATTTCGTTACATAGCAACTCACATGAAACGAACTTACCCTACCGTGCACTTCAAAAATATTAAAATTAAACTGGAACACGAACATTGCGTCAAAACAATGTTCCTTTATTTTATTATCAAGATATCAAGACAACGCTGAACAATTGCGTGCCGCATGCCCTTGAATTAATTTGTTTTAATTGTAGTCAAGTAAGGTAAACGTAACTCGTAATTAAATTTGTATGCCGCATAACATATGTTCCGGAGTATTTGTTCGTTGTTAAGTCAGTCAGCAAAAAAAATAATGTTTCTATATGTAATAATAGTATAGTACATCGATTGATTAAATTTTCATGTAATCTGCGGTGCCGCAGCTGATCTGTAGTATAAGCACAGTAATAAGTCGCGTCGCGTCGTCGTTCTCTGTAGTCCAACAGGAAGTAGAGCGACAAATGCTTAGACAAATGAGTTCGCGTTACGGCCGTGTTGGCATCCTGCCCCATCAGATATCTGACTTTTAACCAATTAACAGTCATGTTCCAAATCGCGTCGAATAAATTACATCGAGACTAGAGAGGGCTGCGCAAATAAGGGAAAGGACAGAAAGAATTATTAGTTGCGAAGATGCCAAATGGATTATATTTTTGATTAAGTCGTTCAAAACTTAATAAGACATAAGGCCCAAAGTGATAAAATACTTTACTTATTAACCGCGAAATGAAACTAATATATTTATGTTGTTTATGTTATTTTAATCATATAGGTAGGAAGGTGGATATCGTAGGTTCGAGTGGTATTGCTAAA